CAACAACAACAACAACAACAACAACAACAACAACAACAACAACAACACACACAAAGAGTGCAACATGCATGTATAGTTGAAATATACACTAATACATAATACAATGACTACAAAGGTTACTAAGACCTTGGCTTGGACTGTGTGATGTTTGCACACCACACACAAGGCCCTAAAAGCATGAGATACAAAGGCCCTTGGACGACCTTCGTCTACCAAAGGGGACCCCAACCCCAAAGTAGTGAAAGAGTTATTTTGGTCTTAGCTGGAACTTGATTGGACTTGTCTTCCTTTGGTGGTCTTAGCCACTCACCTGGCACCCTCCACCACCCATCTGCGAAGCAGATCTCTGCTTATCCTCCCTCCCTCCTTCCCTCCCTCGCTCAGCCTTCCACACACCGCTGCCACACTTCTGGAAGAAATCCTTAAACCAACGCGCAGGCGGGTCAGGAAAATTCAGCCAGCGCGTTGGACAAACTGTAAGTCACAAATGGGAGCAAGTCCAAGCACATCAAGCTATAAAAAGGAGTACTTGGATGTCTCCAACCATTCCGCTTCCAGCACAAAACTTCAAAAGAAAAAAAATACCCTTGATGGGCCACATCAAACAACCAGTCTCCAATTCACCTCTCTATCCGATTCCCCACAACGACGCACACGGGCGGGTGAACTTGTCCGTTCCTGCCGTCTTTGAAGGAAGCTGAGACGCCGAACTGCAACGGAACAGCAACGTTCGTGGAGTAGACTCTCTGGAAACAATCATGGAAGTGGATGGAAGTGGAACAGTTCGGCCCCTGGAAGACCAATGGTCCTCTACAAGGGGGGTCTGCTCAGCTTCCATGATTGTTTGAAGGAGGGTTCTCTGAACATCATCTTCTCAGCTAGAACCACATCGACATAGCTGACCAACCCCACGCGTTTTCCGCCGAGTTTGACTCGTCAAGGTATATTCCCGTGTGACAGGCCGGATGGTGGAGAAGCAACAGAACGACCAGCAAACTCACCAACTGGCATCATCATCGCAGCTACTTTGAAGTGATTTCATCCCCCCCTTTCTCAGTCCAACGATTCCGTTCCCAGGCACCGTTTTATCCTTGGACTTCTTGGCTGCTCGCTCCAACTCCTGAGGTTGGCGCTTCTTGGGTCTCAACCTCCACTGCACCTGACATTTCTGCCTTTAATATGCTTTTATCATATTTATGGGTGATGACTGGAGATGTCCATGGTAACTTGAAAATGTCTCCATCACTTCTTGCTGACCTCCTCCGGAAGTCTCTCCCTCTCTTCTCCGGGTCCACCCATCCGAACCCCCACCCCACCGAAGAAAACCGCTCGCTGCATCGGTTCGCGCGGCGGATTGTGCGGCGTGGTTTGCGGCTCCTCAGTGGGGTCGCATTGGAGCTGCAGGGCCGCTTCAGCGTTCTCGTGGATCTCGCCCACGCTGTCCTCCCAAAACGAACGGCGCGGGCGGACGGCCAAACGAACGGCGCAGGCGCTGCTCGCACGGAGGTTCAAGTGAAACACCTCAGGGTTTCAGCTTATAGAAGTCTTTTGGTAACAGAATTGGTTGAAAAAACATGTTGCAGCCATAGCTTTAGAGGGTGAAAGCTATGGTTTCCTGTAGATGTTCCCCTTGAACTTTCACCAATCAACTGACTTCGAATGACTTCGTCCAAGCGGCAGCCACAAAGGTGTAGAAGTCCTCCCAGGACGGAAGGGAGCCACCAGGGGAGGGGTGAACCAACCGACAGGCGTGAGTTGGGAGCGGAGCCACCGGCGTACGACACAGCCCATGGTGGCTTTGGACAGTTCACACTGCCCCCCAAACAACTCTGCCAGTTCATAGCAGGTGGAAACGACATCCATTCATTTTGTGTGTGTACTGGGTCATTGACCTCGCAAAACCTATCCGCACGAGGGATTCTCTTCCGTGCTTCCTGTCACAGTCAACCTCTCCTACGGTGCAGTGATGGGACGCAATTCATGGGACCAACGGAAGATTTACCCTACAGGTCAATGACCTCCTTTGATGGCCCAAATGGGTCGCGGTCACTTCTGTTCACATCCTGCTGGCAGTTAAGCCAAGGGCGTGAGCGAGTTTGGAGCATTCCCCTACGGGTCAATGACCTCACTTTACAGGAATTGGTCATATAAAAAAGGCACTACTCAGGGAGGTAAAGAAACCAGGTTTTACTGGGTCAGACTGGACTTGTAGTAGGGTTACAATGGTTTATGAGTAGATAACATTGTAACCCCAAGATGTCTTTTAGATGGGGGGTCTGCTACGGTCTGCCGCCAAACTTGGGCATTGTGCTGCTCTGAAACCACTGTAATTATGGTCCTTTGGAAGTAATGTTAACTTCAAAAACTCCCTCAACATATTAGAGCCACCAATAATTTATAACATCGTATAACAAAAACACCAAAGTCTTCATCGAAATCCAACCTTCTATATGAGAGTACTGACAGGAGATCCTATAAAGTGCCTCCTTCACCGAGCGAACGACACCTCTGCGATTTCAGTGGGGGTTCACCCATCCTCCCCGAACAAAAAAGAAGAATGACTTGTGCTATCTTGCGCTTATCCACTGAGGACCAAGGTAGGCCACAAACATCACAAACCTATTCCCTGGCCTTCAATGTAGAAGTTTAACTTCGACGTGGATAAGGTAGATGTTTTACCAGGTGAAACATCGACGTAACTTTAACATTATGATTGGATCTGTGGAGAGAATGGTTTCACAAGAATTTCCAGACATGAACATAGAATCATAATTATTCATCCATATGAATTCCTGAGGTATCCTGAGGTCTATACTCATGAACTGGGGGTGAAGCTTTAGGACCTTCTAAAAGATTCCTATGAGATCCGGGTGGAACTCCCTCGCGTGAAGTTGCGTGAACTACCCGTGAAATTGGCGTGAATGTGTATGTTTTACCTATTAGATTCCATGTTTTACCGTGAGAATCCGCGTGAGATCCGCGTGAAGTTCTTCCCCCCAAAAAAGGATCCACTCAGGAAACCATCATTTTAGTCCAAGACAGTCCTATTTTGCTAAGGCGTTTGTGCCGCTCTGAAGGCTTCCACTGTGATTCACCTGCCTTTCAATGTGGAAGCTTTGCTTCAATGCCTGATATGAGAGCCCAAAAGATCCATTCTTCCTGCCACATGTTAAAAAGTAAAACATTCACGTACGCTCTGCTTCAAAGCAATACATCGACATTTCCCCATGTTGAAGTAAAACTTCGACGTTGGAAGGGCAGGGTTTTTCTTCCTGAACTAAGACTCTCCCTAAGTCATCCTCTCTAGTCGCTCCACTTATCGCGAAGCTACCGGAACGGTGAACCCGCGGTCACGGGGGTCCTTGGACTTCACGTGCAGCCGGCGGAAGGTCAAAACCATCTCGTTGTAGGAGACCTCGCGGTCCATCGGCTCGCGATGTGGATGCGCTGTGAGCGATGCATGTCAATGCATGGAGAGCATGAGCTCCATGTGCTGACCAAAGTGATCAAAGGGAAGCGATTGGGAAAATTCCATGAGCAGTGGATTCAATGGACGATGATGTTTAGTGAGGGCCTTTTCCACCAACAATCGAGTGGGATTGACTGAGAATCTTTGACGCTATCCGACGGTTACTGGGACACATAAGAGGTAGGGATGGGTATAGGGGTAGGGGGACGGCCTGAAAGAAACAACATCAACAGAAATTTGCTCCGTTTGCTCTCCAAATTCACACGTCCACACATGCACACGCTCAACGACTTCCGTGACTTCCGAGTTGGCATACGCAAAGTGACCCACCCTGCAACAAACAAAAGGCAAGTGGACAACGCCCCTGTTTGTCGAGGAGGAGCCATGGCCCACCTCCAGGATTCCATGGTTTTTGCAGGGAGGGTAGGCAGCCCACTTTCCAACATCTTGCAGGATCATCCTCCCACTTGTTCCGAGTGGCCAAGGCTGCCTTGACGTTGGGGTCGCTGCGCAAGAGTTCCTGAAAGTCTGGTGGGCAGTGAATGCCAATGCCCCAATACCAAAAGCAAGAAAACGTATCCCCAAAAACCAGCAACCTGAAACACCACCACCACCACCTACTACTACTGCTACTACTACTACTCCTACTACTACTACTACTGCTACTACTACTGCTACTGCTACTTCTACTACTACTACTACTACTACTGCTACTGCTACTGCTACTGCTACTGCTACTGCTACTGCTACTGCTACTGCTGCTCCTACTACTACTACTACTGCTACTGCTACTGCTACTGCTACTGCTACTGCAACAACAACAACGACGACGACGACTGCCGTGAACCTTTCTGCTGTCCCGGGCTCGTGCGCAGGCTTGGCATCTTGCTGCCCTTCTGTGGCTTCGTACTCCTTTTCCATGCCTTTCTGCCGTGGACCGCGGACCGCGGACCGCGGACCGCGCCGGTTCAACGCAGTACCATGGTGCTCGGTTCCGAGAAGGGATCCTTCAAAGGGTGCCGATGCTGTCCGAGAGGCTCTTGGTGCTCTTGTCGATGGCATCGTAGAACGCCTGAACACCTCAGCCAAGACGACAAACATTCATGGCGTAAAGGATCCGACACTCAAAATCTGGGATCGGCCAGAGGATCCAGAATTTGGCTCATCAAGTGAGACGGATCATGAGGATCTCACTGGCCAACCCCCAAAAATCACCCACGTCACAAGCAGCCACAATGGCCTGAAGACTTGCTCTACGGTCTCTGGTGCTCTCCGGTCGCGCTGCGCTCGGCAGCATGCCCCGATCCTCCACCAGTCCAAAGGCCCAAGACACTCTCGCGGACCTCCACCAAGCTCGCCACCTGCAAGATGGGGCGGTCCAACTCCAGCGGTTCACGCGCCAAGCGGACCAAGCAAACAAAGCATTTGCAGGGCCTCCTGCTTGCCTATTGAAAACCAGAAACCCGCGCAAGTGCAAATTGACTCCATAAGCCTCGAACAACTGGCTCTTACGACTCGTATACCAGTGTCGTTGCGAACATCGGTGCCTGCAGCGTCTTCTCCAAGCTGCCCTTTGCATCCAGGAACTTCCTGGGAAGCTTAAGCGAGGAAGCTCCAGGCAGGGTTTGGATGGCCCGGAAGTGGGTGGCCCAGAAGCGGAAGGCTGAATGGTTCATTTCACTTCAAACCTACTTGCGCAAGCTTGGCTGGCTGGTGAGTTGGTGAGAGACATCAACCAAATGAGGCTGAGGTTTTGATTGGTAGGTTGGTTGGAAAAAACACAGGGGTACAGTGCTCTCTATAGTGCAAAATGGCTTGAAGATGCTGGACGTTGGACAGATGCTGGCGTTGAGAAAAACGGTTTTCAGTACCCTCTTGATCTGTTCTTGTGGGACCAAGTAGTGAAAGTGGTGCCGAGTCCTGGAAGGTTGGGTGGATTCTTATAGGGTTGGTTGGTCTATGCGAGGCACAGTGGATGATGGGGCCTGGTTGCAGGCCTTGTTCAACAGTGTTCTTGTTTACTGACTGTTACAGGTAAGCTTGGACAAACCCTATATCTAGGGGAACTCCCATCTTCCCATCAGAAAAAAACGTTTGCCAAGGAAAACACCAATCACGTCATTTGCACCTATTTGCACCAAACAGCAAGGCCGCAAGCAAAGCTCGTTCTCCTCTCCAACCAAATGAATTGCTTCCTTCTCCCAACTGCCAACCAAACAAAATCACATAAACATACCAGGACCCTCCAAGGGGTGTCCAATGGACTACTCCACACTACCTATAGGAACCCATTGGGCACCCCTTAGAGGGTGCTGGTACTCTTCTCACCTCTTATCTCTAAAAAGGACCTGTTTGGTCGCTCCAAATCCAAATCCGAACCACCCCAACATGGCCCCCCTTCTGTTCGCGGCTTTGGGACTGCTCTGCGGCTTCGGCTTTGGCCTTTGCCTCCACCAATTCAGCTTGAGCCTGTCATATCGTACGGAACTGAGCCTGTCATAAGCAGTTCCAAAGTCTTCTAAGGCACGGCACATGCGCACATGCCATGAATCACTCTCTCTCTCTCTTCATTTATTGTGCCTATTTTTCGATTTGGAGAAGTCAGTTCTAGAATAGGCTGGAACCTCGCACTCTTCAATGAATCAACATGTCCAGCCTCCTCCGCCGCCAATTTGCTCTCTGTGGCTTTCTTCTCCTCAGTTCGACCCGCCCTCTCTCGCTCTCCAGCCGGAAACCTCCGGTGCCCTCTCCGGCGCACGACGGCGCTGTTCGGACTCTCTCGGGCTCCAGCGGCCGAGGCAAATAGGTAGTGGGCTAGGTAGTGGGCTTCGAGGTAGGTAGAACTTAACCATCAGCGGGCACAAATTGGCACAGAACTTTCATGAAGTGATTTCCTTTTTTGTTCTTTCTCGCACGAATGGTACTTTAGGTGTCCTTGCAGAAATCGATGTGAGGACCTTGGGATTGTAATTCCATTGCATTTGATCGCCATGCGTGCCGTGCTTTAATGGCGTCAAAGAGCACGCAAACAAAAAGAAAAACATCAACGACATGTGTAAAAAACTTGTAACGTAGCATGAATGGACTCTTGGAATCTCTTGGAGATGTCAACCATAGTTGGGAGGAATTGTTGGTCCCTTCCCAGATCCTACAGTACCAGTGAGGGAAGCCTCTGGGAGTTCAAAGCTCAGGTTGGATGGTTAGTTGGCGTAGCGCCCCGGTAGTGCCCTGGATGCTCTCCATCATGTCAGGAGCACAAGATGCCAACAATTCCAAAATACTGGACGCCAGCGGCCCTAAGTAGACCCTAAGCAAGTACTCTGTATTACGTGAACACTTTCGGCTAAACATGGTCCCCACATGTCCTCAAGTTCTGTGGATGAGAATAGATGACCTTAGCGCTGCGCACGGCGGCAGCGTGCAGAATTGTCTAAAATCAATCTATTTGGGTTTGTATGAATACGGAGGTCTCCATAGGCCTCCCTGTTTAAATACACACAACATCTATTTGTGAACGAGGAAATATGTCCGTTTTAAGGCGACATGCAATGTTATACATACAAGACCTATATATTTCTCTTAAGATCTATATTTGTCTCCCTTGTTTGAACTCCCAATTGTCCTAAATGTTGGCCCTCGTTTTACCCATGCACCTCAGGAGTTTATCCTTTTGGTTTTCACCGCCGATGCACTCGCAAAGCAATACTGATAGACAGTGATAACTATTGTGATAGATAGGCTAGGTTGATGGAAACAACTTCTCGCCATCGAAAGAGGAAGGAACTACCTATGAGAAATTGAATTCTCGTATGTTCCACTGTTCCAGCCTGCCAACACCAAAGACTCAAAAACACACCGCCAATGACCATATACACTCCCAGCTGACCACCAGTAGATGCACGTGTTCTTGGAATTTCTTCAAGGCATTCATGTCGCATGTTCCGGTGAATCTTCAACTCAGGGATGTAAGCCGCATGAATCCCACGACTGGAACGATCGTTTTCGCTGACATGTGGCCCCTGTTACATGATGTGACATGAACACCGACATGAACCTCGTCTTCCGTTCAGAATCCCGAATTACTGGGGTGCCCTGACCTGATCAACCCACCCACCAACCCTCCAGAACCTCCCAAAAAAGCTCCAAAGAACCTCCAAAAACCTCGCCTTCCTCGCAAACTCCTCTGCCTTCTTCTTCCTGTCCCTCACTCCAAGGCTCTGCCTCCTCCATGGCCTCCGTGGCCGCCTCCGCCTTTTCCGAGGCCTCCATAGCGATGCCGCCCTGGCCGCGGTGGTCCCCGTGGTCGTTCTGAAGAAGGCGGAGCCTTTAAAATGGCCCACACCCAGCATTTGTGTATATATGTTCCCAGATATTCCCCAGACATGGGTAGGATGGTGTCTTCAAAACATCCGATCCTCTATGTCTCTGACCTTGTTGATCCAAGCGAACTCCCAGTGCATCTGCAATGACTATATGCCAATTTGAAAGAAGAACTCAAATGCCTTCCGACGAACTTGGAACGGGGGTTCCGGAGGCCCCAACTAATTGGCTGGGACAGGAGGCCTCCGAATTGACGAGGGATCGGAGCCGGATCCTTTGGATCCTTTGGAGTTGTCTGGGGTCTCAAAATATGCCTTCCCAGAATCACATGGAGTTGGGTGGTTTGGCTCGTCCCATCCAGGGGCCGTGGATGTGACAGGGGCACCCCGACGGCTTCATTTTGGAGCGTGTGGGACTTATAAGGAATAGGCTGTTTGGAGCCTGTGGGTGATGAACACTCTTTGCAATGGAGAAGAAGCGTCGACCGTGCCACAAATGCTGCCAGGGTGGCTGGTTGAAGGGACAAAGGCTCGATGCTCCCAATGCACTCATTGTCATCATTGTTGGGGTGGAAAAAAAGTACTGTACATACCGTACCGTATTCAATGTTCTTCAATTTCAATATGTTTGTTCAATCAAACTCCAACATTCTGTCAAACTATGTCAAACGATCACCGGGTCACACCGGCCGGAAGAAAAGGTCTTTCTCAGACTCACATCGGTTGGACCTTCTCGCGATGTTGCCCGGCTGGAATTCTGCTTATTCCTGGCACGAGTTCCTCCCCACCTTGGCCGTCACATCGGATTTCAACTTCTCCACGGCCGCGGCTTCGTCGGACTTCTGCTTGGCCAAGGCTTGTAGCCTGGTGCAGAGGTCTGGCGACTGGATCAACTGCAGACCTCTTGGATTTGACACAAAACCAGGACCACCGGTGAGTCGACCAAGTATTAGGACGCTGTGCTCGGTGGAGGTTGGAGGCCATCGCTACTAGTAATCGTAGTAACCAGAAGCTACTAGGCTTGAGGCCATTACTACCGGTAGCAAGAAGCTATATAGCAAGCAGCTACTAGCCCAAACACTCTATGTATGCCATATATGCCGGGATCAATGTAGGTATATATGGCAGTCCCATGGTGCTGGTAGCTGGCCGTGTCAAGCACTCAATGCAGTCGAGTTCTGTC